CCCCACTCACTTCTTTCCTTGCTCTGCTTCCCCGCCCTGGCACTCCCTGTGCACTTCGGATGCTCAAAGGCTCTGAGAAGGCCAGCCCGCCTCAGCAGGTGTTACCTGTCACCCGCCCTTTCCCTGGCATGGCTCAACTCATCTGCCTCGAGTTCTACTAGTCTGTCATACTTGGAATTTACTTCTGTCTCCTGCACACAAAGGAGAAGCCCAGTCATCTCTCTCGCTCCTCTCCAAGTCCTGGCTTTTCTGCTTCTGCAGCATGATTTTGGCCTTTTCTTTCCATTTCTTCTGTTCTGTTCCAGAACAGGCCCTTATTTCTCCCAGTTTGGACCATTGGGACTGCCTGCCAGCCAGCTTCCTGTTCTTTCACACCTTCCCTCCAACCCATTGTACACTCATCACCACATCGGTCGTCTAAGGCCAAACTCGATGTCCCTTATCTGATGAAAAGTCTCCATGGCTTTCCACTGCCAGGCTGCAGACTGCTGCTAGAACAGGAACCCATCAGATCCGTTCCAGAGAGTCACATCCTTGGCTTGTCTGACTCAGACCCCTGCTCTCCCCACTGCCCTCCTGCCACCCCTCCCCTGACAGCTTTTGTCCCACCCTTTCCCAGCAGCCAGATCCCTCCAGCTCTCCTGTCCCTGGACCTTTTCTCAAACCTTCTAATACTTGGCAGACCCTTGTCCCATCTCCACTGATCAAAATCCTTCAGTCTTGCTCAAAACCTGCTCACTCTCCAGCCATTCACAAGCATTCCCTCCCCTGACCCTCAAGGTAATTTGTTTTCGTACCACTTGTAGAGATGTGCTGAATAGTCACTTGGATGGGGCACCCGAGTGGCTCAGTCTTAAGCCTCCAGCTTCAGCTCAAGTCATGATCTCACAGTATGTGAGTATGAGCCCAGCGTCAGGCGCTGGCTGGTGGTGCAGAGCCTACTTAAGATTGTCTCTCTCTCCCTCTCTCTCTGCCCCTCCCCTGTACACATTCTCTCTCTCCCTCTCAAAAATAAATAAACTTAAAAAAATTCTTTTAAACAGTCATCTGGGGGGCGCCTGCGTGGATCAGTCGGTTAAGTGTCCGACTTCGGCTCAGGTCATGATCTCACAGTTCATGAGTTTGAGCCCCGCGTCAGGCTCTGTGCCGACAGCTCAGAGCCTGAAGCTGCTTCAGATTCTGTGTCTCCCTCTCTCTTTGCCCCTCCCCTACTTGCAGTCTGTCTGTCTGTCTCTCTCGCTCTCAAAAATAAATAAACAATGAACAAATTTTTTAAAAAAGCCACTTGGATGTTTGTCCTAGTTCCTCTTCTAGATTATACACTGTTAATTCCTAGTACATACAAAGCAATGATTGTCTTTAAGTTAATAACAACTCCTTCACTATTCCTCCCTTCTCTCCCCTGCTAAAAAAGAAGAAAGGACACTGCAAGTAAACATTAAAATACTTTTCTCTTTCTTACATACCGTTATTGTTAGCTGTTAGATTATCTTGTTGAAGTAAATCTCACTGAGGTATGACTAATTTACAAAATTAACCCTTCTAGAATACGTATGCATTTTTTTAAAATTTTTTTTCAACGTTTATTTATTTTTGGGACAGAGAGAGACAGAGCATGAACGGGGGAGGGGCAGAGAGAGAGGGAGACACAGAATCAGAAACAGGCTCCAGGCTCTGAGCCATCAGCCCAGAGCCCGACGCAGGGCTCGAACTCACAGACGGTGAGATCGTGACCTGGCTGAAGTCGGACGCTTAACCGACTGCGCCACCCAGGCGCCCCTAGAATACGTATGCATTTTAAGAGAACCGGTTATTCCCGTGAATCTCCACATTAGTCAGGGAGGCCCAGTGGCCACATTGGGCCACTGTTTGTCACAGAAGAACAGTGAATGATAACTTAGGGGTCCACTTCTGGAGGGCCATAGAATACTTGGTGAAGGTGCTCTCACGGAAGAATGTGTAAACATTATAACTTCTGCATCAAGGTGTCTAGCTAGATTAAATTTCACAGATGTTTCTCCTCGTGCTCTCTGCTCTTCAGGGGTAGGAAAGCTGACTCCTGGAAGCGGGAGGGAAATCTTTCCCAAGTTCCCCGCATCTTTTTGGTCACTTGACCTCAGACTCCCATCAGCACAACCCTAGTTTGTTTCTGAGCCAGTAGGGTGCCAGGCAGACGGAGAAGAAGGGAAGTTCGAGCCTCCCCTCCTCCCTTCCCCATAGACTCCATCAGGAACCCTGAAAGAGAATGTGATAGAAATACAACTGTGTTGGCTATGCCCTCCATCCCTAAGCCCCAGCACCTTGTCCTTCAGCCAGATTGCTGTCCTTAAGCTCCTTTGAGAGCTGAGCTGCCTCTTGTGCGACTAGTTTTAATGCTTGACGGCTCTGCTTTGCACAGAGAGTCTATGAAGTGTGCCCTTCCTCTACCCCCACCCCCACCACAGTAGGAGGCATGGCAAAGGGGAATTCATTACTCAGGACGTATTTGCTGCCCACCCGCTATCATGCCTGCCAAGCAGGTGCTGGGGCTACCTTGGCGAGCAAGATAGACACAGGCCCTGCTCTTTGTCTTACCTTTCTATTGGAGAGACTACAGCAAAGGGATTTGGGGCTTAACCCCATGGAACCCAGCCTTAGTTGATGGAAAGAACACAGAGCTGGGAGTCAGCCTTGGGTTCCATCAGTGCTGTTTATGTCCCGAGAATGATTAGCTCATGGATCAGTTTCTCACTTCTAGACTTGGAAGGCTTTGTTAAATTGACCAAATCAATAGACATTCAAATCCTCTAGACAGAAAGTATTCATATGATTGGATCTGGAAGTTTAATTGTGATTATAAAAGGAAATCTGATCGGTTCTGTGTAATAGCAAAAACAGACAGACACTCCTCTCCCACTCCCCACCCCTAAGGAAAAAAAAAACAACAAAAAAAAAAACAACAACAAAAAAAACACCCTGGAAAGAGTCTGAAGTTAAAATAAAAAGCAGCTGGCAATAGGCCCATCGTGTGTGATGATAATTAGACAAACGTTTTCCAAGTATGGGATGATCTTGTGAAGACAATGGCTGTGGGGGTGGGAGGGCAGAAAACTTAGGAAAGGGAATTTAGTAAAGAAGTGATTTCTGCCTGCCTACAAAGAGGATGTCACACACTCTCCAATTTGGTACCTTTTATTTTGTTTTCATGCATCCCGGAAAACATGTCTTCAGCTAAGAGAGTGAAGAAAAACTTGAGGCTTTGATTTACAAAAATTAAAGCCATGACTAGGCTTTGGATCAAGGTTGTGTCCTGGGCCTGGAAAGCCTCATCCTTCATTGTCTCAAACCTTTCCTGCCCTGAGGAAAAAGAGCTGAGTCTTAAGCTGAAGCAGCTCTTTTGCCATCTGGGGCTCTGACTTGGTTGACCCTCTCCCAAATTATTGTAATCCTGGGTCTGGAATGGATACAGATCTGGTCTGGGTGACGGCAGCTGCCTTCTGCTTCTGGGTGGCTTGGGATCTTCTGCGTAGGCCCGGGAGGAGGCTGGGGCTGCAGGGGAGGGAACACAGGTACCGTCAGCAACTTGGCCAGCTCGGTGCGAGATCTGGGCCTCTCGTTCCCGATCCCCATCTCCCAACGAAATCTGTGTCTTCAGAAATTACATTAGACACTTACACCTTAGTGTGAATATTGAGGTAACGTGTTAAGTCACCGAGGGTTATTCCCATTGGAAGCTTGGCATTCCACTGTAGAAAAAAGTCATTTCTGCCCATTAAAAGAATTTCACGTATGTGAATGTGTGGAGGAGGCTCTTGGTGGGAAAGGAAGTTGAGGAAGAAATAAGAAACTCTACTAAGCTAGCTTGTCCAGCATTGGGGGAGAACGTAGTGGAAACCCCTCGCCCTGAGTAAAAGAGCGATAGCACTGGGGGAGGCATGCTAGATTAGGGGCAGAAGAAAGAGAAAGGGTAGAAAGATTGCTTTCCTTTAATAAACGGATCCGCCTGCTCTCTGCTTCAAAGGGAAGAGGAACAGATCGCCTAAAATTTCTACAGCATTTACCCAGAACTCTCAGAGACTCTGACCTCCCCCCCCTTTGTCCACTTGGATTTTACCGTGGGCTTGTGTTGTGTGTTGCATGAAGGACGGTGGCTCCTGTGTTCAGAACCAGCCCTGGAAAAGCTCACAAACTGAGGCAATTGCAAAGTGTATTAGAGGCACGCGGCGTGCGTTATGTCCCTGGTTGATAGCCTTTGGCATCTGGTCGTTTGCTTCTAGGGAAAATTAAAAGCAGGTTATAATTTTACTTTTAATGAAGGAGGGGTTTTTAAAAAATGAAAACCATTTTCTTATATCAAATCCTACAGATGCTGTGTAAAAATCCAAATAAACTCAGAAAAGTATAAAGAAGTGGAAAAAAATAAAAGCAACCTTAAAATCTGACCTAAAGGTAAGCGTTGTTAACATTTATGAGGAAGTAACTCTCTGCATATAGGTCCTTACAGCTTGATATCCACACAAGTCAAATATACCACATGAGCTTTTCCTCCCTATAACAGGGTCTGCACATCTTTCCACATTCCATGTCAATAAATGTAGGTCAGTCTCACTCTTCTTTTTCCTTCTTTTTTCTTCCTTGTGCTTAACGTGAGCACAGAAAAGTGCACAAATCCTATGTCTACAGTGCCACAAACTCTCACAAAGTGAACATACCTATGTAGCCAATAGCCAAAGCGAGAAACAGAACATCTCCGGCATTCCAGAAACCTCTCTTGCCCCTCTCCTAGTCACCACTCCTTCCCAAGATAACCACTGTCCCGACTGCCCGGGATTAGCTATGCCTCCTTCGAACATCACGTAAATAGTATCATACAGTGTGATTCTTCCTTTCAGCTTTCACTCAGCATTATGTTTGTGAGATGCATCCATATCATTGTGTTTATTGTTCACCCACCCTCATGGCTATATGGCATTCTACTGAATGCCTGTAACCACATTTTACTCACCCAGCCTCCTTTCGACAGACATTTGGGTAGGTTCCCGTCTGGGACCGTTACGAATAGTGCTGCTGTGAGCATTCTTCTGCACGTTTGTGGTGAATATATATGCACGTTCCTGTTGGGTATGTACACAGAAGTGGGATTGCTGGGTTGTAGGGTAAATGTATGTTCAACTTTCGTAGATATTGCCAGATGTATTATCATTTTTAATGGGGAGGCCACATCGGATTCCATTGTATTCATGCATCACATTTACTTATTTATGTAACCAGACTCCTGCTGGTGGGCATTTACTCCGTTTACAAGTTTTTCTCTTTCTTTTTTTAAAAATTTTTTTTCAATATATGAAATTTATTGTCAAATTGGTTTCCATACAACACCCAGTACTCATCCCAAAAGGTGCCCTCCTCAGTACCCATCACCCACCCTCCCCTCCCTACAAGTTTTTCTATCACAAACAATAAAGGGACCAAAGCAGCAGAAGGCTGAGAAACAAACTGCTCTCCCCCTGCTTAACCGAGGGCTCAGACCTACCCAAGTTGTGTAGCTTAGATGATTTTTCACCTGTCATGACGTTATTCATGCGAGAAAGAATAATTAACCTTTGTCATTCTCAGTGCAGTCATTTTAATGATTATGAAGAACAAAACCAAGTCAGGAGTCTGCCTCCAGAATTGGAAACATCACCTCGGTTCCCAGTTCTGTTCATCTGTGAATACGTGAGTATAACGTCCTCTCCCATTCGTACTCTTTACTCTAACATGCCTCCCCCAGCTTGAATCTTTAATATCACCTGTGCCAAACTTTGGTGAGGTGATCATTGAGCTTCATGACCCAAATGACCATCAATGAAATGCAACTCAAGCAATTTTATCTTTTCTAAGAGTTAGTTCATTCACATAGTTCAAGAATTAAAACAGTATGGAAAAGTATGCCGTGAGAAGGCTTGCCCCCATCCTGTGCCTAGCTATCCTGTTCCCCACCTCACCTGCCTCAATATGTAACCACATTTATTACCTTGGTCTGTATCTCTCCAGTGTTCACGCAAATCTAAGTAAATTCTTCTTTATTTCATCCTTTTTATGCAAAAGGTAGCATATGATTTACATTGCTCTGCACCTGCCTTTAAAAAAATTTTCTTAAGGTTTATTTATTTTTGAGACAGAGAGGGAGAGAGAGCAGGGGAGGGGCAGAGAGCAAGAGAGACACAGGATCCGCAGCAGCAGGCTCCAGGCTCTGAGCCATCAGCACAGAGCCTGACGCAGGGCTCAAAATCACGAGCTGTGAGATGATGGCCTAAGCCAAAGTTGGGCATTTAACCAACCAAGCCACCCAGGTGCCCCTGCACCTGCCTTTTTCATTTAACTCTATATTCTGGAGCCCCGTCCATAGTAGTACACAAATTACAACAGGGATTGACTGTTGTGTTAATGAAGACACGGGACAGCTGCCACATGGCAGAGAACTTGAAGATACTGGAGCACATGCTCACTACTTTTTAGTTCTTCCCTTCATTAATGTTTTCCAGTTTTACACCTGTACACAATCTTACTGGAAGCAACAGAAGCTGTGCCAACCTTCCTCAAAGAAAGGACAAAGGATCACTTTAGCTGTTTCTTCTTACTTTGATCTAGAAAAATGCTTTTGGGGGAGCATTTTCTTACACTGGCTTGAGCTAATTACCCCAAAGTGGACTTAAAGAGTTTGTGCCTGCTTTTGGCTCTTTGGATTACAGTCCGGACTCACATCTTCAAACTGCCCCACTTCCCTGAGCTCAAGACCCACATTTTCCACTGGGAGCTGAATGTTGCCACCTGACGTTTCCACCTGAACGCCTTGTCTGTGCCTGACACTCATCCAGGCTCTGCGAATGCAGTGTGGTTGAGTCGAGGAAGATGTTTCTGCTCTCCTGGAATTCACACTAGAGTTGAGGAGACATAGACCACAAACAAATACGCAAACAAGAAAACTTCAGCTAGTGCCGAGAGCCTTGATGAAAAGAAAACACAGAGAAGGGACAAGACTAGATGGCCACTTCAGGTGTGAGGTCAGGTCAAGAGGGCCTTTCTGAAGAGGTGATGCCGAAACTAAGCAAGCCACGGGGGCATTTGGGAGAAGAACATTCCAGAAATAATATTCTCTCATTCATTCAAATAGATGAAGGTGATGTGGTTTGAAAAAAAAACTGAAAGTGGTTAGTAAGGCCGGAGCATAACGAGCTTGTAGGAGAGTAAAATTCACCATCTTTCCTTCCAGCTGAACTTGACCCCTCCATTTCTCTGACCTTTCATTGATGCTGTGGGTGTCCTGGAAGTCCTGTCAGGAACCCTTATAGGCCCTCATCCAGCTAATCACAAAGCCTCGACCGACACCAGTCCTTTCTAATTTCCACTGTCACCACCATATGCCAGCTGTTACTCCCTCATACTCCTGTAAGGCTATGCTGAATTTTAAAAAGAAATAAACCATCAAAGTGACTGGAGAGAATGACTTTTTGACAGTAATTAGACCTAAAAGTCTTGGTTTTGTTTTCATTGCTTTTACATGGTTATGACATAGGGAAAAAAAAAAAATCCAAATAATTTCAAATAATCATTTTGGGACTTTGTGTGTTTTGTTTGGTGGCAGACTGTTTTCACGGAGGAAGGATTGAAGGAAAGGAACAGACAGGGAGTGGGAAGCCCCCCCGGCCCTCCCAAGCTGAAAAGGACAAATTTGGCATCACGCTGGGAACCTAGGTTTGCGACACATTTCTCTTTCTAGTATTCTGCAGCAAGTGGATTTAAGTCAAGCAAATTAGAGTGGTTTTTTTTTTTTTTTTACATTGTTTTTCTCCTGCTGTTAGCAATTCTTTACACTTGATGGGCACTTGGTGGAGGTTTGCAGGTGAGATTTCACTTGTTCGTTCAGTAAATATTTTATTGAGCACCCTACTGTGGGTGAGCCAGGCACTGCTCCAAGAGTTGCTGATACACCAGTCAACAAAACTGGCAAAAGTCCCTGTTCCCAGGAGCTCCCTTTATAGTGGAGCTTACATGTTTTAGAATCGTTGGGTGTGGTTCCAGCTCACCGCCTTCATAAGGGGATGATCCCAGGAAAGTATTTTCTTGACTTCAATTTTCTTATATCTGTCAAAGTCTGGATTAAGGCCTTTGGAGACGACTGATCTGACCCCAGACTCAACCCTTATCAGCCACTTGTCCTTGCTACTCTGTTTGTGTGTTGGTTTTCTCACCTGAAAAATCGACATAAAATTACTATGCCTCAGAGGTATTACGAGTATTAAATAAATTGCATACATATAGTACTGTCTGGTATACAGTGAGTGCTTTATAAATGGCCACCATTATTATTACGTGCTCTCTGGACCTAATAGATATATATAAAGTATGGTTTCTGCCCCACTGGGGTTCAATATCTACTCAGGAGGCCAGAGTAAAATGCAAGATGTAATCACTACCAGTACCCAAGAGGATATAATTGATTCAGTAAATTGTAGGGTGTTAACTATAAATGCCATAGGAATTCAGAGGAGGAAAAGATAGATTTGGGCTGGTGGAGGCTTGGATTGGTGCCTGGTTTTGCAAGAGAGGCATAAGGGAGGATTCACAGGGTCCCAAGCCCCCAGGCCCAAGGATGAGGCAAGAGAGACTGAGAAGTTGGCTGGATGGAAAGGTAGAGTCCAGTCATAATGGGTGTGGAAAGGCAGGCAATGGAATTTAGACTTGGTATGTCAAGAAAGAATGAGGAACAGCCTTAGAAATCCCACTCAGGTCAATCTAGCTAGGTCAAGGGAGGAGAGGAGAATGACCACTCCCCTCCATCTGAGGTCTCCCCCTGAGGAGGGAAGGTTGGCGGGGGTGGGGGGGCGTGGTGATGGGAGGTAAGACCCTCTTGACCACTCCCCACTACACCAGTCAGGGATTAAGTTGTGAAAAGCACTTCAAAATAAGTAGTTTGGTTTTTAATGTTAATTTCAGGGTATAATGTAACCTACAAGTTTTAGCCTAGGAGGATGGCGTGCACTATTTGGTTTGCCAGTTAGAGGCAGGGTGTTATAACAGTATTTGGCAGGAACATCCAGAGAACAAACACAGCCTTTTGTGCATCTGTCCCGCCTCTCTGCCACCTTTCTCAGGGAGCCGATGATGCTGGTGAGGCTCAGGGTACTGACACTGCTTCTGCGCTTGAGGGCCGACTTCACGGTTTGGCCAGAGGATTCTTTGCTCTCTGTTTTCGTCCCTCCTTTGTGTAGGAGTAACCATCACAGTGTTCACAAGATATACAATCAGGTATGCCCAGTAGTCAAAAGGATCCTTTATACTTAGCCTTATTTAAATCAAGGGCTCAAAGCATTTTAAACACGATAACTTGGTAGCCTTCTTCTAAGCCTGGGGAGAGGGGAGGTCGTAAAATGAGGTTAGACAATCCGAGAGGATTGGTTTTATCATAATGGTTGGGAACCTGAGTGGAAAAGCACCGATATATAATAATCCAATTAAGGTATCAGGGTTGGGAAATCGAGTTCCTGCTTTTCAGATTAAAAAAACGAAAGCAGAGAGCAACCAGATAATCTGGATTTGCAATCAGGTATTTGGGAAATCGGGGCAAGGGAGAGGCAGAGAAGCAGACACCTGAAATCCTCCAACACATTACACTACCAGCTGCATTCAGAGCCGGCAGAGGTGGGGTGACGAAATCAATCTAATCCAGTAGTGGTAGGATATAGACAACATAAAATTTACCATCTTAACTACATTTAGTTGCACAGTTGTATAAGAAGCAATCTCCAAAATTGTCTTGATCTGGCAGAATGAAAACTCTGTACCCATTAGACCACAGCTCCCGATTGCCCCCTCCCTGCAGCCCCTGGCAACCAGTATTCTACTTTTTGTTCCTGGGAATTTGATTACTCTTGGTATCTCGGGTAAGTGTCCTCATGCAGTATTAATCTTTTTGTGGCCAGCTGATTGCAGTTTGCGTAATGTCCTCAAGTCTCATCCATAGTGTAGCATGTGCCAGATTCCTTATTTTTTAGGGCTGAATAATATTCCTTTGTATGTATGTGCCACATTTCGTTTATCCATGCATCCATCAAGGGACAACCAGCGTTCGTTACCTTTTTAAGGCAACTATTTTTTATTTAATGTTTTGTGTAGGTTACACATTCACATGGTTCAAAATTCTAACTGTACAAAAAAGTAAATAGAAGGAGTTTCCCTTCTGCTTTTGTCTCCCAGCCACCTAACTCCTCTCCTCAAAAGGCACCAATGCAAATCCTTTCTTCAAGGTCTTCAGCATTGTTTATACGTGGTAGCATGCTAAACACGCTGTTCGGCAACTTACTTTTTTGACTTGACAACATTTGTTGAAGATACTGACATACATATAAAGAATACACACACACACGTGCATACAACAGCAGATTCACCTGGTATTGTCATAAACACAGACAGCTGAATGAGAGAGGGCGGTTGGGACCTTGACTCTCCCTTCCGGCCGTGCACATAGGAAGGGCTTATGATTAGATATTCCTCAGGTGTCTCACCCTGTCCTCATAACCACTCTGCGGCATATTCTTCTGCCTGCTCTGTTGTCAGAATTCAAGAGAGGCAAAGCAACTTGTTCCAGATGATAGAGCTGATTGATAGGAGCGGTCTGGTTTAAAAGTTGGTGCCATGCCTTCTTGCTGTGGTCTTTGCTAATGCTGTGTCTCCTGCCTGGAGGGTCCCCATCCTCCACCCCACCTGCTGTGCAGCCCATCTGGAGGTGTCTTCTTCAGGCCCAGGTGCATCTTCGGCCTTGGGAGCCTCTGAGGCAGCTGAAGGAAGAGACGGACACAAGGACAGTCCCACATAGTGTTCACAGAGAGTGTTGGGGGTCCAGACTACACTTCGAGGACTTCCTTCTGTCTGGAACACCATCCCTCCTCCACCCCCCACTGCACCCCACCCCCCCCGGCCCTGGCTCCTCCTCCTCAGCTGTGAAGAGTTCTGACCTCTCTCCGCCCCTGGACCAAGCCCTCCTCCTGTATTCTCATGGCAGTCACTCTCCACATGTTGACTTGGGGAGCCGTTTCCTTGCCTGTCAACAGACCGGGAGCGTCTCGAGGGTAATATTTGATATTGTTTGACGCTCACCTTTGTCGCCCCAGCTCGTCACTCAGAACAGACCTGAACTGAAATCTCTCACATGAGCCAATAGCATGTAGACAGATGCAGGAATCAAAGATCAAGCCAAAAAGACCAGGTTGGGAGGTGAGGTGCAGGATGGGGGGACGGTAATACATGTGTCATCGAGGGCTTGGGAAGAGAGGCCTGAGGTCTTCCTGATGGGTGGTGGCCTCATATTCATGGGTGATCGGAGTAGGTTAGAGGAAAAGGATCAGTGTAGACCATGCCTCAAGGTTATGAGTCAGGCCCCACCTTTCCCTAGAAGTTCATCCTGCCTACCTCAACCCCATAGACCCTTGGTTTTTCTCCAACCAACATATTCTCCCCGAATGTCCTCACAAATGACCTTGCCCTTTTGGGAGATGACTTTTGACTTGGGTCTTGTCTTGCAAGTAATAATAGCCCACCCTCATAGAGCACAGCCTATGTGTCCAACCCTGTCCTAAGCCTGGGTATATATTCAATTATTTAATCCTCACAGCGACCCTATATGGAAGGTGCTATTTCTCTACCCTTTCTACCAAGAGGAATTGAGACACAAACTGATTAAACAAGTTGCCCAAAGTTCACACTGTGGTAGAGCCCAGATTCAAAGCCAGGCACTTTGGTGTCAGAGTCTATGCTTGTAACCATCCTAAGTGGAAAGGAAGCCCCTTAGAGGCCCCGTTTCCATCTACCGCCCGCCCCCCGCCCCCCCAACTAACCCACGGAAAATCTCAGAATCTTAGTGTCATCCCTACAGAACAGTGGGCGGTAGGACTGCTGATCAGAACTGCCCTGTCCCTGGCTATGTTAAAGTTCAGGTTAGGGGCACTTGGGCTTCATAAACGTGTTATGTCCCCTTACGGGTTTCATGGCCAAGGCCACTCTTGTGGTCTTTCTGTGCATGGCCTTTCTGTGCAACTTATCCTCCTGCGGTGAGGGAAGAAAAGCAGCTCTTTCTGCCAAGGAGTGTTGGTGTACCTGCTCGCTCTCCAGGAAAGATGTGGCCGGAGCTGTGCAAGCCCATGTCACCTGCAGTCTAGACGTGGACCCCAAACAGAGGGTGGCAGGGCAGGCAGGTTTTCCCAGGGCTGGGGTGTCCCGGGGGTGCTGGGGAACTGGGAGATGCTGTTCCCACCGCCTTAGGGGGGAGCAGAAAGGCAAGAATTTAGCTTCGCAAACAGATGGAGATTTACACGGTAAATTACTGCCCCTTCACTGCTGGTTTCTTAGGAAAGAGAGGAAGGGAGAGGGGGAAAAACAAGAGCTCGACCTCCTCCTGGGGCAGCATGAATTAAGTGTGGGGTGACAAGAAGTTCTGCCCAGCTCAGTCTCCCGAAGTGCACTACCCAGAGCCTTTCCTCACACACCGGGCATTTGGGGTTTGATTTGCGTTAAGCACAGAGTTAGTGCTGGGAGTGTTTTGACTCTCATCTGGAAGTGAGTCGTGGCATTCTACTGTCACGAGGGTAAAAACCAGCCCTAAACTCTACACGGAGAGCAGCAAGGTTATCACTTAGCTGTTTGATGCTGGGGCCAGCCCAGTCACTCCCGCACATGCTAACCCCCTCAAAATC